TTATGTACATTGGTGTTTTGTCTGTATGAGGGTATTGGATCCCTGGAACAGGAGTTATGGACAGTTGTGAGCTGCCATGTGGGTGCTGGGAATTGAACCCGGATCCTCTGGAAGAGCAGTAAGTGTTTTTTTTTTTTTTTTTTTTTTTGGTTTTTCGAGGCAGGGTTTCTCTGTGTAGCTTTGGAGCCTATCCTGGCACTCGCTCTGGAGACCAGGCTGGCCTTGAACTCACAGAGATCCGCCTACCTCTGCGTCCCGAGTGCTGGGATTAAAGGCATGGCCACTAACACCCGGCTGCAGTCAGTGCTCTTAACCACTGAGCCATCTCCAGCCCCGCCAAAGCTTGTTCTTATTTTTTTTTTATTTTTTGGTTTTTTGAGACAGGGTTTCTCTGTGGCTTTGGCTGTCCTGGAACTAGCTCTTGTAAACCAGGCTGGTCTCGAATTCACAGACAGAGATCCGCCTGCCTCTGCCTCCCGAGTGCTGGGATTAAAAGGCATGAGCCACCAACACCTGGCCCCAGGAGAGAATCTTTAACTCTGAATCTCACTAAAGATGACCATTTTAAAGATAAGGCATGGCTTCTTCACCTTTGGCTAAAATCAGGTGTGGTAGCAGATGGTCTTAATTTTGCTGTTTCCAACGTGTTCTAGATTAGGAAACTATGTATAATTCATCATCTTAATTTAGAAGCATCTATTTCAAATGACATGACCAGTGAGCTAGTTTTTTCTTTTATAGTTGTTTTACAGCCAGATCCATCATTTACACATCAGGAGAGTTTGTGTCTCATATATGAAAGAAAATCAACAAGCTTTTGAGTCTGTAAGTAGAATATATGCACTGAAGATAATTGTTGGTAATGTTAGTAAGTGGGAAAAAAATTTTTGGTACCTAATATAAAAACTGAATTGTCATATAGTCTATTTTCTCAATAGCAACCTTTTAGTTCTCAGCCGACTTAGAACTAGCATGCTTTTGTACCTCCTCAAATTAAATTTTTTCGAGGCAGGGTTTCTCTGTGGCTTTGGAGGCTGTCCTGGAACTAGCTCTTGTAGACCAGGCTGGCCTCGAACTCACAGAGATCCACCTGCCTCTGCCTCCCGAGTGCTGGGATTAAAGGCGTGTGCCACCCACGCCCGGCACAGCTTTAATTCTTTTGACTGTATATTGAATATTTGCCTTCCTGCCCTTGGAGGTTTGTTTTTGATTTCCTCAACAGGTTTCAGTGAGTTGTAAAATACTGTAAAGGCCTCTTTAAATCTTGTTTAAATCTCCTCCACCTGGGAGAAATACTGTTCCTGACATCGAAATGGAAGACCATGGTTTGATTGCAGCAGATCTCAAGGATTTTGTGCATACAGATAACCCTGGGGGCTTTTGTTAAACTGTACATTCTGATGAAGTAGGGTTGAGAGGAGGAGGCTTCAGATTCCTGCATTTTAAAACAAACTTGCAAATTAAGGGTGCTATTGTTTTCACATTTTAACTAACATAAGATATGTAAAACACTGTTAGAAGTCTCCCCCCCCCAAGTTTGAAGTTTATGCCATGTTTGTGTCTTTTCACTGAAAAAAAAAAAAAAAAAAAAAAAAAAAACCCCAGCCAGTCTTAAGGCACAAGGACACCCATGAGCATGATAGATATCAGTCACTATCTTAAATCTTAAATTAAAAAATTTAATTTGAGGAGTTATACATTACAGTGGTTTCAGGGCCAAAATTTGCACCACTTAGAATTATTCTGTTTACTGCAAGGTAGTTATATCTCAGAACTGTAGAGAAAGTGAGTTTAATTCAGTTTTTTACAGAGGTGTATTTTACTTACTATAAGATTTTTCATTGTAAGGTTAACAGTTTTAGTTCTGGCTGTGGTAAAAGTCATTGCAGCTTCGATAAAAATCAGTGTGGACCACATCTACACCTGCAAAAGTTTCTTGTGTCTGGAGCTGTTTTGATGTCATTGGAATTCTTTTTATAAACATTTTCTTAGTTTAGCAGGGTGTTGGTGGTGCACTCCTTTAATCCCAGCATTCAGGAGGCCGAGGCAGGGGATGGGTCTCTGTGAGATCGAGGCCAGCCTGGTCTCCAGATCGAGTGCCAGGATAGGCTCCAAAGCTATGCAGAGAAACCCTGTCTCGACAAAACAACAAAAAAACTTTCTTAGTTTAGCTTTGTATACATGTCTCCTATCAAATTTTTATTCTTGATGATTCTTGGTCTTGCTTGATTACAATTGTCAGGTTACTTGAGTTGGTATTCTAAAAGAAACTGGAAGATACAGATTGCATTTGATGAAATCCACTGATAAGTAGACAGCTTCTGAGATAACATTTTTCTACACAAGACATTTCTGTAGGTGTAGAACTTGAGGTGCTGTGTGAACTAATCATTTAATCCCACATACAGAATATATAAACATTCAGAATTCATAAACATATATGAATGTGACAACAATTAATGAAAAATGAGGCCATGAGTTTGAAAGAGTGGGGATTGGCTATATGAGAGAGTTTGGAGAGAGGAAAGGGAAGGGTGAAATGATGGAAGTGTATTATCTCAAATAAAAAAAGAAAAACTCATTAGATGCTGATAACTGTAGAATATAATCAGATTGCAATACTATATATTTGGCTAAGTCAAGTTTGTTTTATTTTTTGAAGTATGTGGAGGGATCTTTTGAGAAATATCTGGAACGGTTGGGAGATCCCAAGGTAAGTTCAAATACGAGGATATCTGTTGCTGGAGTTTCTTGTCCTCCCAAGTCCTGCCGCCCTTCAGCCCCAAAGAAACACAGGGACACTATATTAATTATTTCAGTTGTTTGGTATCAGAGCCATCTTAAAAGAGCTGTGCACTTTTTTGCTGCTAATGCTGATTCAGGAAATCTCTTGTAAAGGAGCCTGCAGCCTCTGCTTGTCTCTAGCAAACAGAGCCCACTGGAGAAACAAAGGCAAAACCCCTTCCCCAACATAGCACATATCCTGGTTTCCATATCCTTGAAGTACACCAGCTGATTTAGCTCAGAAGTGTTTTCTGTTTAATGTCTTCATGTGGCTGTTTTTCCTTTCTCATTAGCATTAAGAAGGTTTAATGTTAGTAAAGCATTATGTAATCTGTTTTTGGGAGTCTTGATACCCCCTGTCTGTTTATAGAGCATTTCCTTTAAATTGCAATTAGATCTCTCAACAACTGCTTGTCCTGTAGGATTGCATGGTATACAAGTAATATGCTTTATGTTACAATATTTATAAAAAATGTTTCCATTTACTGGAGACATATGCTGGAGCATTGTCAGTTTTTATTTGTGCAGGTATACCCATAATAGTCATTAACTCTAATAGATGTGTAATGTCAGAATCAGCCCGTTCGGAGCTCAGAGTAGTTGCCCATTGAAATCCTGAAAATGTGTCTGTTGTATGGTGCGCATATTTTAGTTTTCCAAAGTATGCAATGTGAAACACATCCATTTGCCAAAGATCATTTTTTCAAAATTGTTTGAAGTAATAACCCAAACATACTTCTTTATTTATAATGACTCAAATATTTTCTTAAGTAGCCAGCTCTGTTGAATGAAACAATTATTGGAAGCAATGGTCTGTTGTTTTGTGTTGAATATTGAGAATTATGTTGACTGTTTTGTAACCTGCTTTGAGTACACAGTGCTTCGGAAAAGGACAATGTTGGGAAACACTTAAAGCCTTTTCACTTTAATGGGAAGAACAATGGTAACGTTTATTATTTTTTAAAAAATAACATTTTCCTAATTGGTAGTTATCTGTTGTGGGAATAAAATTCATAATAATTTAGAAATAATTTTTATGGTAATATTGATCAGTTTTTAGTTAAATAGACATTTACTAAATACTCTGCCACCTTTTTAAAAATAGTAGTTACACTTTTATACTTTTTAAATCGTGTAGTTATTACCTAATGGCTAAGAGCTTTGGGCCCATTATTTGAGTGGGTACTTTTTTTTTTGCTTTTGCTTTTGCTTTTTTTTTTGGTTTGGTTTTTTTGTTTTGTTTTTTTTTTTGAGACAGGGTTTCTCTATGGCTTTGGAGGCTGTCCTGGAACTTGTAGACCAGGTTGGTCTCGAACTCACCTGCCTCTGCCTCCCGAGTGCTGGGATGAAAGGCGTGCACCACCACTGCCTGCCTTGATTGGGTATCTTAATTTTCTTATATTCAAAACAAATTACATTGTGTTATACAAATACTTTACCTGAAACATTAATAGCCAAAAAATGTAAACAATATTTAATAGTTCTGAAACGTTTTTCAAAACTCTGTGTTATTTATATTTAGGAGAGTGCTGGCCAGCTGGAACTAAGAGCTCTTTCTCTAATTTATAAGTAAGTTGTATCAAAGGAAAATGAAAGAGGGAATATATGAATGAGAATGACTGTGTATAAGTAAGATTTCTGTGAGACTCTCTTTAGGATTGGCTAAATTGGTTAAATTGGAGTGTTGGTAAGTTAATAGTGTAGAAGCAAAAGGCCTGAGAAAAATCCATTTAATACAGTTCTTAGATGAAGAACCTTATTACTAGTTCTGTCCTAGAATTTGTGTCTCTTTGAAAGGAAGATTAAATGGAAGCCAGGTGTGCTGGGACATGCCTGTAATACTAGAACTGAGCAAGATGATCTTGAGTTCAAGACTACCTTAGGGTACACAACAAGATTCTGTCTCAAGACAGACTAAGAGCCCGAAAATACTGAACTGGTAATAGTATCAGTAGGAAATCAAGGTAGCTATCTTATCAAACTTCTCAGTACTTTAACATTTTTTATATGTTATCATTAGGGTAATGCCATTTCTATTGTAAAATTAGAGCAAACATTTTTTAGATACTTAAGCAGTTGAATTATCCTTCAAATGGTCATGTATTTTGATATTCAGGGGGAGTTAAGAAAAATCTTAAAAGGCTACCTTTAGTTATAGCTATCTTATGCATATGCTAAATAATCTCTTCCCACCTACCTTTGTTTTCTACCTGTAGTCGAGATTTCATTCTTTATCGATATCCTGGAAAACCACCAATGCAGGTCACAGATAATGGCTTTGAAGAAAAGGTAAGAAAATGAATGCTGGCTGAAATAAAGTTGAATGATGCTGCTGGTTTGCCACAATAGTAAATAATTCTTTTAACCTAATTAGTGAAACACTAAACCTAGTTTTGAAGACCGATGAGGAACCATTGTGCTACTGAGTCACCTAATAAACATTGTCTAACTGGTAATATTCTATGCTGGTAGCCTTTTCCTCTCTAGTCTGTCATCCTCATTGATATTAGCTACCTTTTATTTAAACAGATTGTTCTTATCACTCCTTAATAAGAAAAACCACACAAAAGCCTAATTGGCTCCTCATTGACCAGTCAATAAGGGTTAAATCTGAAGTTAGGTGTTCAGTGTCATTTCATTCTCTTTTATCCTTAGTGTACACGTCATGCTACTTGCTAGCATTTGTACAGGTCATTGTTTCATCCCTTAATTGTCAATTCCTTGGAAACATTCCCAACTTCCCTGTAGCTCTTTCTTCTCTTATACCCTGGTTAGTTTCCAAGTCATGATACTTAGTTTTATCACATCATGTCTACATTTCAGCTTATTTTTCTCATTTGGATGTGTCTTGAGAGTTTTACATTTTAGTAAAGTGCTTAAAAAATAGTAAAAAGTAGATGTTTTTCAAAACTCTCAGCTGGTAATAGATTTCTTTTTCCTTTTTTTTTTTTTTAAGAAATCTCTTTTTTTTTTTTAAGATTTTATTTATTTATTATGTCTTCTGCCTGCATGCCAGCAGAGGGCACAAGATCTCATTCAAGGTGGTTGTGAGCCACCATGTGGTTGCTGGGAATTGAACTCAGGACCTCTGGAAGAGCAGTCAGTGATATTAACTGCTTAACTGAGCCATCTCCCCAGCTCTGGTAATAGATTTTTTTTCCAGCAGAGTCTTCCAAAAGGTTTTTACGAAATGAGTTTGATCTTAAGTACTCAATCAATGAATATGGGACTATGCAATATTTGAATTTTGTAAGTTTTATTTCACACCATGAAGCATAATACTGGGAAGTTGATGATGGCACAGCAAGAATAGGACAACTTTGATGTTGTTACAGTAATTTAGGGAAACGATCTAAACTAAGGAAGTGGTATTAATATTAGAAATAACTGATTGGGGATGCATTAATTATAAATGGAGTCACTTATTTTACAAGTGGGCCATCTAATTTATTCAGCAAACATGTTGCTTTTCTGGACTTCGAGGATACCATTATTTATGATTAATAAAGTTTTTTTTTCTAGGGGCTTTAGGTGGCATAAAGACTTTATGGAATAGTTAATTGCAATTAAATCATTAGTTTTATAGTACAAGTAATACGTAGAAAGGACATAGAAGGAAGAGACCTGCTTAAGCATGTGGTGGTGATACATTAAATGGTATTTTCATATGTATATGTCATGATAACTTTTTCTAATTTATTTCCATTTTCTAATTTATTTTCTAATTTATTCCCATTCCCTGCTCCCTTTATTCTTCCATCCACCCTTTTGCTACTTTGCTGGTGCCCTTATGTTTTCATTTCATCTGAAGTTTTTAGCCTTTCTCCCTCCCCACTCCTTTAAGGTTTCTTTCTTCCTGTTCATAGTCCACATTCTATTTGCATGACACACATGCATATAAGTCAAAATCTAGATTCTGTATTTGCGAGTAAATGTATTTTTCTTTCCGAGTTTTATTGTGCCTAACATAACAATCTTCAGTTACATCCATTTTCCTAAAAATGCCATGATTTCATTAGGACTGTATAAAACATTGTTGTATACATGGGCCACATTTTCTCTTTCTTTTATTATTATTATTAGCTTTTTTTTTCTGAGACTGTTTCTCTATGGCTTTGCAGGCTGTCCTGGAACTAGTTCTTGTAGACCAGGCTGGTCTTGAACTCACAGAGATCCGCCTGCGTCTGCCTCCCAAGTGCTGGGATTAAAGGCGTGCACCACCACTGCCCGGCTATTATTAGTTTTTCAAGACAGGGTTTCTCTGTAGCTTTGGAGCCTGTTCTGGAGCCTGAACCTACAGAGAGCTTGTCTCTGCCTCCAGAGTGCTTTGCCTGCAGAGTGCTGGGATTAAAGGCGAGTGCCACCACCACCTGGTTTCTTTTCTTTTTTTTTTAAGAGTTCTTTATTATGTATATGGTGTTCTGTCTGCATGTATGCCCGCAGGCCAGAAGAGGGAGCAAGATCTCATTACAGATGCTTGTGAGCCACTATGTAGTTGTTGGGAATTGAGCTCAGAACCTCTGCAAAGCAGTTGGTGCTCCTAATCTCTGAGCCATCTCTCCAGTCCCTTATTTTTAAATTTTTCAATTTTACATATCAATCCCAGTTCTTTCCCTCCCCTCATCCCTCTCCCCCCAACGTCCCCCCAACCCCCCCCCCCTTCCAACCCCCA